ATCTATATACAAGAGGTATCAAAAAAAGTTCACAGCTCCTTATGCATATATAAAAAATTAAATTAGAAATTCGAACCAAATAGTAAAGAGCATAGAACATTTAATAAACAARAAGAAAAATAGTTGGAAAAATCATAACCAAGAAAGCTTTATTGSGAATATTATTTATCTATAGATCGATGCAAAGAAATGGTGTTACGCTCACTCGAAGGCAAAGCTCTTAATGACTTTGTCTTCAAGAAAGTCCAAACAGACGAAAACTTCTGTAGATCTCTCTGCTACATGGATGATAGATGCCTGTCAATCAACTATATCACTGTMAAACAAACCTGCGAGTTGAGTGAATCAGACCACGTGATGCAGCCTAGTAGCTTTGTGTCCAGGCCAAGATCTGTGTACTACAGAGTAGAGGTATTGAATGAACGATTTTTTTTGTTTCAGCATCTGAGCATTTTGCCATTCCATATCGGTTTGAGTTATAACTGTTACCTTGTATTACTTGTACATAGTTCATCTTTGTTAACTCACAAAGCCTACTATTTGTGCTTTGTTCTTGACGATGTTGTTAGATTTTGCAATTGTCTATTCAAAAGATTTTTCTGTTGCGACTCAACTAATAATCTTTCGCCTTGACCCATAAAAACACAGYTCTTCAAACAGGTATCCCAACTTCATTCTTACATATTCTATGGTCATCAACAGAATAACTGTAGATGCTCTTCAAAAGAAACATGCCGGTACAATTCTGCATTGAATAAATTCCAATGCCTCTGTAATGCAAAGGACCCAACAGCTAACTGCAATGCAAGTGAGCAAAAACTCCTTTTAATAGAGTACTATCAGGTCTGTAGGCAGGAGGGGTATTCTAGCGAAACAGAGCCGCACAGGCCGAAAAGATCCGGCCTGCATCACATCACGTCTAGTGGTTAAGCTACTGGCCTCTCACCACTGTGGTCCGGGTTCGATTCCCGGACACGGACCATATGTGAGTTTGAGTTTGTTTGATGTGTTGTTCTCTCCCTTGCCACGAGGGTTTTTCTCCGGTTCCTCCGGTTTTTCTCCCTCAGCAAAAATCAACATGTGAGGAGTGTTGTGTGCTAAAATACTTAATGTAGAGGTAGTGAGTGTGAGAGTACAGGGTCCGCAGTWAYTGGCTCACGCTGTTGCGGTGTCCCTGCCCATTCTAGGGGAAAAGCTAATAAATTAAATTAAATTAAAAATTAATCATTAAAACCCAAGGAGCACTACGTAAACCATTTTTTATGCGGCAGGCGAAATTCTCAGATGATGGAGATCCTTCCCATTAAGAAATGAAGATCCCCCGTTCTGAATGCAGCAGCTAACAGCCCTGATTATTTCTAATGCGAATGTTTCATTGTAGTTGAACATTTGATCTGAGAAATGATTTTCTATCGTTTTTAGGCGCATCAAGCACTGAAGAAGCTGCTCAATCTTCACTGATCTTTGAATCTACTGCAAATGCAACTTCAACATCGTCCGCAAACACCAGATCCATAGAAGCAGCCTCCACCCCTCCAATCATCATCGCGCCTACTTCTAGCCTGCCATCAAGAACAAGTGCAAAAGGTGTCATTTCCAGTGAGTCGATCTATAAACCATCACCTTCTTTCATCATTTTTCCTCAAAGCAACTCTGTATCGATTGAACCAAGCTCCACAATCTCATCACCTTCACTGTCATCGGYAACTCACTTACCAAACGCAGCTACATCTCCGACAACAACATCTTCAACGAGTACCTCAGGTATATCTACTGATCTAAAAAACAATTACAATTACAAAACAATTACAATAGTTCAATACGGAATTAAAGGCCTATGCTAGTCGGCACTCAAAGTTTGCCTTTGTTTGGTCACCGGGTTCGCTGRCTTTTACTTCCCCACCTATGATAAAGAGAGCTTGCAATCTTGCATTAGAATGTTTTTTAACTACTATAAAATGTAAGGGTATTTTAGCTGAATGCTTGGGTTCAGGAGAACATCTAAAGAACATAACTTATGATGTTTGTATTTTTAAACGTTTAGATTGCCAGCTTGACTTTGCTTCTKTAAATGACTATGCGAAGATACCCTCAGCTCTAGCTCAACCAATCAARTCGTTCACCCTGAACTTTTGGCTGAAAGTCCCGTCATCATACCAAGACACTCTTCAGATCTTTTCTTACAAGACTGATGATGGCTCAAGTGACTTTTCGTTGGGAATCAAATCAAATGGAGTCGCTGAGATAAAGATTAATGGCGGAGGACAGTAAGAAATTGTTGCTCTCAGAATATATTTTTTTCATGTGAAAACCTTTTCATAGCATGTCATGAGCTCAAAATGATACGACTTTACCATTTTGGGACAGTACAGCCCTAACTTTTACAGAATTTTGATTCAATAGCAAATTTTTCTCTGCTCTCATTGTCCCAGAGTCTATCACGTGATGCTATAGATCGAGCTTCAAATAACCATGAAAATACGACCTTSATTGAGTCCAAGAGAGCCAACGATTAATGCAATATCATAGCTGCTGTTTTATATTTTCTATTTTTTTTTTCGTTTTTTCTTATTTCGCAAAAAATGACGATACGTATTTCATCTATTTTTAAGATCACTGAAATCAAATATGCAGAGGGATAACAAATGGCAAAACTTCGTCATCAAATGGTCAAATGATTACGGATATGTGCGTCTTTATAGGAATGGATTCACACAACAAAAAGAATATGGATTTCAAARAAGCCAAGTGATAAATGCAGGAGGTACAATTTATTTTGGTCAGAAACATCAAAGCGATGGGTTTGATCCAAAAATAGCCCTCATCGGGAGTGTTGCAGACATGGAAATGTGGAAAGATTCAGGAATGCTTGCGTGGTTAATATACAGACAGAACTGTCAGTCGGCACGAAAGTATAAACCAGGAGATATCTTGTCATGGAAARCAATCCTCAACTCACCTCATAATGTGCAAGTGTCCAAARTCTGCCCGWCGACGTGTCAGTTCTAAGCACATGTGATCTACATCAAAATCTAAAACATGGGCAAGTCCAGATTATCACAAATACAGTATTTTCCCCAAGAATTCCCTGGGAAAAAAACTGTATTTGTGAGAATGTAGAAGCTCAATATCGTGACAAAACGAACCACATAACCTGAAACTGTATTATTATTCTTRTGGAACATAAACAGTGTAATAGTTTCCTTCGCGGTTACCTGGGCCATCTTGAAAGGTAGCCGTGCCTTTCCATCGAAGCGAGACGACCGTTGAGTATGCAATGATACATGCATCAGTACTTTCGGAGAACAATGCGTCCGCCATCTTGAAAAGTGGGACCGTCCCACTTTTCGAATCACTAAATCATAACTCCTAAAGGATTTAAAAACTTCTCAGCTAATGTCAAGGTATTATCATACAATACAATGATAGATACGTTGACTTAGAAACTACGAAATGTGTTCTAAGGCACAAAATAGTGATTCCGCTCTCACTTTTCAAGATGGCGGACGCATTGTTCTCCGAAAGTACTGATGCATGTATAGAAACCTTTTGTCACACCTAGACACAATTAGATTGTTTCGCTTCCATGTAGAGGCACGGCTACCTTTCAAGATGGCCCAGGGAACCGTGAAGGAGACTATTCCCCAAAAAGTATGAGCAATAGACCAATCCATCATTCGCTTGGATGATCACGAAACAATGGCTTCATATCGAGGCTGGACTTTTATCTTTTGTCGAAAACTCCAGACTCGAAATGAAGCCATTGTTTTGTGTCCATCCAAGCGAATTAGGAATTGGTCTATTTTATTTTGTAGTTCTTGTACTGAAACTGAAACAGTGTTTTTTTTTTTTTTTGCTCTTTTTGCTTTTAACTTGRCAGAGAAAGGTGCTTGTAACAAAACAAGATAAATAAGTAAAAAAATGCAAATTTTTGTAAAGAAATAGAGCCAGAGAGCTAAATTAACTAATAAGTTTTCTAGTTAGACCCCTGTTAGCCCCCTACCTACCCCCTTGTTTTTAGTTGGAGCATCGTTTCATTGATTCTCAGCCTCTAGTCACGAATTGAAAATCACGCCTATGATGTGGTGTCAGTTTGTGTTTATTGATATAAGTTGTATTGTGATTTTTTTTTATTTTTTGTGTGTGTACGGACTGCATTTACATTATATCTGTACGTATAATTACATGTAGAGTGCAAAATTTCTGACCACTGACCACTGACAAAATTTCTGACCATCGAATGCATCGTGGGTCAGGGGGAAATAGATGCTAGGCTATAGCGCCTAAWATTGCGCTGATAGATGTGCAAGAGCAAGACTGTATTGATGTGGAAAAGTTTGCACTGAACGTATAACACTATACATCAGTGCTTACAGAAGTTTTGGAGGCAATTTAACTAATTKTTTGAAACTTGTTTAGACGGACAGTTCTTTCCAAGTCCTTAGTAGACTAATGTGAATGTTAAGTGGGTAATTAACGTRACGAATTCATGCGAAATTCACGAATTCACGAAATGTGCCGTTATATTGCAAAAATGCTAATAGCTTAGAGGTTATTAWGTAAGCGAAATTAATTGCCCTATTTTATTATGACTTCATATCAAAACATCGCCAGAGTGGATTAGAGCGACTGCAATCTAAAATTGTACATAAGCAATCTTTGATACATGATATACATCAAAACACAATACATTGGAGTTCTACTTTTCGAGAAAATATAAATGTGTCCAGTTTCTGCTGGTTGCGAATATCTTTCCCGATATACATGTAAAACACATAACACTGTGACGTCATAATGAAACTGAGCAATTGACTAGTTCACGTGACCTAAWTTTTCATGAAGTGAGGTCATATTGCAAAATAACTTTGGAGTTATCATGTAAGACAAATTAATTGGTTTAAATTCACAAATATCCTTGTTAGAGCGGATTTCGTATGAATGGGAAWCGGACGGTACTGTACTGTGACCGTAATCGTACTGTAACCAAATTCTAGTGCCCCATTGGTTCACCAAAATTGTGCAGGCCAGRTGCGRTAACTGTRCGGTAACCGTGCGGTAACGGTGTCCCACTCATACGAAATCCGCTCTATATCTGTATATTGTGAAAAACATTTCAGTTGCATGGTGAACTTGGATGGGTTATGTGCTGTGCTGTTTTATCCTGGGCATGTTGTTGGGCATGTTTTCTTAACTTGCCCCTTCAAACCATTGGACTTTAAGATCCTACCACCCCAACTCAAAATAAGTGCGTTTGACCTAATGTCCCCCATAGATCCACAATTGGATTTAAAGATATTGTCGATGTTWTCATTAGATAAAGCGTTATCCCACATATATACTTCTGCGAGGCTTCCTTGAATAGCGATTGAAGAGTCGTCTCCGTCAAATATTTTACCCAACTGGAGTTTACCTCCAGCATCTTTTTTAATCTTTCCTTGATTCATTCCACTTTCTGACGACAATCTCTTTCGATTTCTATAGCTTTTCACTTTTCCGTCAGCTGTAATAGTGATCGCTATGTTTTGCCAGGTATTGTCCCTTACGAAATTTGACTTAAGTTTTCTGAAATAATGAATTTGGGAAACAATTAACATAGTTGCTTGTATTAGGGGACTAACTTAAGAGAAACTTAGCTAAATAATTTCCTCCTGTACTGAGTTTTTTTGAGATAGGAGGTTATATCTCCGAGTGCATTACTTACTTCCCACCTCCGTTTATTTTGAATTCAACCTCCGAAGTATCTTTGATTACCACTGACATATCGCTTGTCTCATCTTTAGTTCTATACGACACGATAGCCAAATTATTCKTGTACGATGARGGCACTTTAAGCCAAAATGACAAGCTCAACTCCTCGATGTCTTSAGAAAATCTCGGGAGTATTTCGAAGTAGTCATCTTGTGAAGATCTCGGAAAGTCCAGTTGGCAGGCAGACGTAGCTATATGAAATAAGTTAAATTAATCATCTGCTATTATCATATTAATAAGAATGTGCAATAAATGCATCTCCGTCCTGTACGTTTTCACTTGAGACTGTCGAGCTTAATGAAAATAAGGTCATAGCGAGCAAAAGCAAAAGAATGAAATTTTGCATGGAATTCGAAACATTCAAGATTCAACGTTTGAGCCATGCAACAGATAAATGTAAATCTTTTTCTGACCGGTCATACTGTCAGTAACCATTGTAAAGCTATGAAATGACTATTATACTATAAAACAACGACTTAAAATGGAGGAAGTAAGTACAATTTTAAACAGATTAATTTGCCTATAATTAATGGAAAAGAACCTGAGTACGAATGGTTCCTGATCAAAAAAAAATTACTGATAATGAAAAAAAATCCAGATAAACTCTTAATTGATCTTAACATTGCCCAGATTGGCGGAGCAAGATTGTGCAACAACTAAACACTTAAAGGACCAGTTTGCACCATTATGCTTTGCGGCGAGCCTCTGTTATTGTTATGATTTACACCAAAATACTTCTAGTATCCAAATATCACCATGAAGATGGTTGAAAACTCTAATATTATCGTTTAAAGTGCTTAGAAAAGTGAGATGGTCGAGGATTCGAAACGCACAGTAGAATTCATAGACTTTCGGTAAACTGAAAATGGCCGCCCGAGGGCCCCAAAGCATAATGGTGCACACTTGGCATTTAAAAAACGCTTTCAAATTACGGCAGAAAAGCCAACGAACAAACAAATAAGTAAAGAAAAACGAAGTACACGGACACAACTAATGACAACAAACATGTTTTGCACCTGTTGTAGGACTTGTTGTTGGTGCTGCTACCAAAGTGCTTGTTGTTGTGACGGTAGAAGAAGACAGTGGACTTGAGGTGACCKTGATGCTGGAGGTGGTAGCTACTGGAGCGATTTGTGCTAAAGAATTAAATTTTGTCAATTCTAAAGTTTAATCAGTTATTTAATCAGTCATCAGTGAAAGCATATCATTTTGAATGTTAATGAATTAAAAATTGATCTAAGGGACAGCTCATTTTTTATCGGGAAGGGGGGTGTTTTTTTATGGGGGCACCCAAACAAAAACCATGTTTGAAGGAAGGCCATGAAAAATTGTTATCCTATATTACTTGTATATTCAATACAGCATATTTCTTAAGAATCAAAACGGTGGGGGTCGTGTCAGACACGATCAAGGTGGTGGGCCATTTGAAAAGATTGCATCCAACTAGCAGGTCATTTAAATTTTTTTTTTACAGAAACTTTTTTCCGCCCCAACCCTTCTTGATAAAAAAAAAAAGAAAAATGAACAGTCCCTAACTAAATGACAAAGCAYTTTTGACTAAATGATCAAAGCGCCCTGCTTATGTGGTCCCACTGARCGTACAAGAACGTTGTTCCTTTTTGTCACAATTATACAGCTTGCAGATCTTCTCGCCAGGGATCTATGAAATGAAATAAAAAAACAAAGTCATAGTGATACTGAACCACCSTAGGAAAATCTTMGAAACGCTACAATGGTGTACATTTTCCAAGCTAAAAAAYAATCTKCATACAACTSTTTTTAAAGCTSCACAAATCTTTTCAAAAGCCAACTTGCACCAAAGATTATCTAGCTTGCGATTTTTTGTTTGGATTAGAAAAGACATATTACAATCAGTTATATAGTAGTAATAGATAATGTAATAATCTAATTCTGTATCTCCAGATTGCTTTGAAATTTTAGACACTGCAATTAATGGTTATGAGCTAAAAATAAAAGAAGCTCTTTTTATCAATCATTTTAAACCTGAACTTAGACTAATACTCAGGTCAAACACTATAATACCACTATCCACTTGTAATCTCATCTCTTGTTTTAGTTTATTTTTGACCGTTTTAAAAGACATATTAATTTACGGCATGCTTTGTTATAGGAATGCTTTCTGATAAGTCCAAACTCAAAGATATTGTCATCATTTTTYGTATGTSAGAAAATTCTCGGATACGCATGTGCATTTACACTTCGTCCAGGAATTTAGAAATGGTATATGCAGTGTGGACAATGTGTTAACTATCTAAACAACGTGCAATAGGTGTTTGCAACAATYCTYCTGTCCATATCATAGTATACTATTGTAATAATGAAATAGTTAGGTACTTACTGCAATTTCGTAATAGTCTGAAGTTGGATTAGGTACCAGYCCACCAGCCGCTGTTTTGTTGGATTTATTCAGATCGCATTCATAAACRCTCTCGGAAATATTACGAGAGTTGATTGACAGGCACCATGGCAACGACATGCACTCTCCCCAACACAGCTCAAGAAAAATTCTTCGAATAGTTTGAACCGTGTGGTTTTTCAGTTCCATGTACTCTGTTTTAATGAATTTGYTTGCATCACATGATTCCACAAACGACTTGGGATGATTTATCATGATTGAGACCAGGATGACGAGAAATGTGAGAAGTTTAACCATGGTCAACTCTCTTGGCAGCAAGCCTTGTTTTATGAGTTAAACTTTAGGCCGTTTTGCTGAAACGGAGTAAAAAACAGCTGTTGACATTTCCAATAAATTCTGCGGCAACACAAAGATRACCTGCTTATTTGTTTTCTTTTTCCTTTTTTTATAACTCGAGTTGAATCATTATGATTGCCTAAGCTAGTCTCGAAATTCCCTATTTMAAAATTATCGTGCCAAAATATTCTAGTTGTTAATTTTGTTTTTAATATTATTAAAAGAAATTAATATTTAATAGCAAAGCACTGAATCTATGGAGAGAACATTCACTTCCTAATAATAGTAAATAATTGAATATTTCAATTGTCTTTTCTTTGTGTCAAAACTTCAGTAATCATGCGAAGGAAAGTTCTAGCAGAGATACTAATAATGCACATTCTGATGGTAATAACGCCGGCAGTCTCAAAGTATAGTAAAACAATGGACATAATTGTGTGACAATTATATGTTCAGTGTGATTTAAAAACTCAAAAAAAACATTTTGTATCTTTTGCGGACCAACCTATTCTGAATTMGATAGAAAACATATAACTTACTCTTTAAGCAATGCACCAAAAGTAGTTGAAGAGCAATATGATTTGAGGAAACAGGGGAAAAGTTCAGATTTGATTGGTTGTTTGAAATTAGATTACCGTGACAGTCTAATGTCTTCTGCATTACATTTTATTAAGATTATTGTTAAGCTATAGGTACAAGGGATGTGAGGATAGAGCATAATTAAAGTTGATAAAAAAAATACACCGAAACTACAGAAAGACCAGTAGGAATGGCATCATATTACAAAGTCGAWCTGTTAATGTTGAATGCCTAGATCGACTAGATGATAGTGAACGGTGTGCTAAAAAAAAAACAAAAAAAAACCCAGCATTTCAAGTCCAATTAGGTGGTTAAAAATTAGGACAAGAAGCGTGATTTACATCGAGTTACAGGTGATGCACCACTTAAGTACAATGAAAGCTCTCTTCAAATAAAATAAATAGCYAATATTCACTATTTAAACCCATTTAAAAATGTTGCATAACTYGCTATAAAAACAAAATGCTACTCACCTTCTGCTTTCAAAATGTAAAATAGTAAGCCATATTTTCTCAGGAAACCTGTGTTCTGGTAGATGGCATCAGTAGAAGTGAAGATCGAAGCGCGGGCACACGCAATTAAAACTCTAAAATTAAATCCGAGAAAGAGTTTTGATTGGCTGTTTGTATCTAATTCTGCTTTTGTGATATCCGTTTTATTCTCTGATCTAGTTAATTTGATCTTTCAAGTTTGCACCGTAGGGGTTTGAATAAGAAAGATAGCCGTTATTAGTCGGATTAGCTTGTCATAACATCAAATCAGTTTTGAAGTTGCTATGTTCAAAACAGTTCGAAGAAACTAAAAGTTTTGAAAGTTTCAATTAGTTTTATACATTTTCAATAAAAAATAGCAGAGTTTGCTATCTTGCYGTGTATTGCTTTAATACGCAAGATCTCCAAWTGTATTATTCTTGCTAGATCGTGCCCTTGGTCTAATTCTGCTCTTATACAACTKTTTTATCGTMTATTWTAATTCTAATGTTTTTTAGTTCTTTTCAATCTTTTCGATGTTACAAAAGATCACGTGGTCGTCTTTATAAGTGAGATTTTGGTGTGATATGAAAAGGAGTGTAATTTATCGAACCTTTTGCTTAGCTTATCCACTTTTATTTGAAATATAGACGGCTTTCTTGGCATGGCARTGTGTACCATCCTGKATACCAATAAACGCATCTTCAATCTGGCCAAAAAGGAGCATAGCTTTGGGACGCTGATGACGGTAGACAGCYAAGRCATGCATAAACTCAATGCGTTGTTCAGTGATTTTAAAAGGCTTGTGAGAGTTAGAAACATAGCACGTACATYTCAGAAAAAAATGAAAAACTGTCATTGAATGTATTTGCAAACATGCAAGTTAGTTTTTCTTGTTTATTGAGCAACAATTAAGTAGTAGGTATAATTGTTGTTGATATATTAAGTACTTGTCAATATTAGTTTGAATGCTGACTATTTTTAAATAGTACCGTGATCATTATTCTACAAATAATTCTGCTGTATCAGAATAAAATAGTAAATAAAGAATATTATGTAAACTTGATAGTTTTATAAACTTCATATTTACATATCCATGGTCCAAAATCATTCAGTGCGGTCGTGTTTCAAATATATGGAAAACGAGGGGACAAAAAAATATCACCTTTTCAATCCGTCGGTTCACAGTATGGCTCCATTACTATAGAGCATAAAATTGGATTACAAAGACTGAATATGTTTTTGCTTGTATTACGATGTTTTCTTATTTTCAAACATAAGGWAAAGCTCGAAAGGGATGCRTGTGACCCATGAAATATCGATGCATTAAAAGGACACTGTCAATGGATGACATGCGCGAGTAAACTTGAAAACACTAGGCTAGTGTTTTCAAGTTTATGACTCCAAGTTGGCGCGACATAAATCAGATCGTAAACGTAAACAGATCTAGAATATTCCAAAGTGTGTCAAAAGCACCACAAAATGATTTACCTCGAAGGTTATACTTTCAAAGTCCGTTAGAGGTGAGACTGTTACTGCGCATGTCATCCATTGACAGTGTCCCTTTAA